GAAGTTTATTTCCATTCATTTATATATCAAATTCTTTGATTCCTAATTACAATGTTTAGGCATAACTTTCCGACCAAAATTATTGGTTTTTATCAAGTATATAAGTTAATTTGTACCATTTTTATTTTCACTTTTTATACAATAATAAATAAAAGTTGATTTAGATTTGTTAATTACTTATAACAAAGTCATAAATATATTAAATAATCACTTTGTAGTTTAAAAAAATCAATTTATTTATATTTTAGTAGCCTGCAGATGTTAAAAAAACAAACAATCTTCTTTTTTCAGACTGCAAACGTTTGGTCCACCTCTTCTGCTGCAGAGGTCTACAGATGTGGTCCGCAGACTGCAGACATTTTACCTCAGAAAAAACAAACAGCACCTAAATGTTTGCAGTTATGGATTAAATGTTTTACAGGTTGTTCGTGAGAAGAGCTCGGTGGGACTGTACACATGCATCGAAGTCAATGATTTCCGCTTTCCTGTAATTCGGCTATGATAATACTATGGATTCAAACAAATGAATGTTTCTTGTGGTTATTACGTTGAACGTTTTAATCGATTAACCTCTTTTAAAAATGAAAACTCTCTTTGTAATTTTCGAGATGTTACAAGTTGGTATCAAAACCTTGGTTTGAGGGGTTTGGGTGCGCCTTACAGTGTTTATGAACTCAAACTGAAGACTGGGAGATTTTCTAAATAAGTTTTTGAAAAAATGCTTTTATTCAAGAAAACGATTCCTTAAATAGTTTTTTTAACAACCGGAGGATGCGATGCGTACAGCCAGCCGGAGCTCAGGAAGTAAGTGATTCCCAATATACTCATATGATTATGTATTTGTGCTATGAATTGCTATGCATATGCTAGAATATAGGCAGTTGCAGGAGTGAGGTAAGACTACAATTTGGCCCGTAGCATTCACTTGGGTTGAAATAGACTCGTTGGCTGAAATAGGCCGTTACAGGAGTGATGTAAGACTATGATTTGGCCTGTAGCATTCACTTGGGTTGGAATAGACCCATTGGCAAAATAGGTCATTGCAGGAGTGATGTAATACTACGATTTGGCCCGTAGAATTCACTTAGGTTGGAATAGACCCATGGGTTGAAATAGGCCGTTGCAAGGGTGATCGTAAGACTATGGGAGGACCATAACTTTCACTTGGGTTGAAACAGACCCGCCATTATGTGCTTAGTCATTCCTTTATCTAGACTTAAGGGCTATTAGATTCGTATTTATGTATACACTAGATTAGCCTTTGTCTATTGGGATTTTGTTTGGAGTTTCGTTGTGCGTCCATGTCTGAGGTTTTCGGCTTCAGCAGTTGGTCGTGGATTCCCTTCTTCAGTCATCAGTAGGACGACATCTGGTCGAGGAGGTCTTGGTTTGATCAGATATATGATTTTTGGTCAGCATGGTTGATGTATGAGGGTGGCCTTGTCTGCTTGGAATTTAGACATGTAACGTCCCAAAAATCATAGTAAAAAAATTCCATTTTTACAACCATCTAATAATCCATAAATCATACAAAAACATTGTTTTCAAAAACATAGTCATAAATCAGAGTATCCCAAAATCATCTATCAATAAAATGTCCAAGGATTATGTGCACAATCACGCCTTCGCCTTGCCCCGATCATCTAATGTACCTGAAACCATGAAATCAAACTATAAGCCAAAGCTTAGTAAGTTCCCCCAAAATACCTCACACAACAATATAATAACAAGTACAATACATGCATATAGGGTTTGTTGGCCCGTGGCCTCAACCCAACCATCTAGGGTTTGTTGGTACATTGCCTCGACCCAACCATCCACGTTTTGTTGGCACATTGCCCCAACCCAACCATCTGAGGTTTGTTGGTCTACCGCACAAAGCATTACCACCTCAACCCAACCATCCACGGTTTGTTGGCCTCTCGCCTCAACTCAACCACCAAATGTCGACATATGTAATATATAAACAATAATCAACAACTACATATAATCATACAAATCTACCAATCTAACAGGTCACTATAGCATAGCAACATCCTATATACCAGGATACATAACACAACCTTGTGGGACGACATCGGTGCCTTCGAACCACGAGTACAGTAAGGAAAACTCACCTCAAAGTCCAAAAGATAGCTGAACTGATCACTACTCAAAATATCGGCTCTACAGGTCACCTATACAACAAATAGAGACCAAGCCTCAATCTACTACTCAAATTATTCCATTTGACCTAAAGTTAAACTTGGTCAACGGTCCAAGTCAACGGTCGACGGTCAATGTCCACACTCCAAAGCCATTCAACCAGTCGACACGCCGTGACCATCTATTGGTCACGTTGTGACCTAGTAAAACAAAACAGTCGCGAATCTATCATTCTCATGTCGTGACACCCCAAGGTGTCCCTTCATGACGGCGTTTTGGACAAAATTGAACGTTAAGCTCTTAATCCATTATGCCTTGCAACCAAAACTTCCAGAAGTCCTTCTCTTTCCTATAACACCATAAAAATCGTAGCTTTTTGGACATGCATGTCCCAAACACAAGCTAGGGAAAAACAAGGAAGAAATGGGATTAAGATCTCATGCAAGAGTCCTAAAACCATCCCATACTTCAGATCCAACATTTATCTCATCAAAGGGACACTGGAGATCCATAAAGTTGGCAACTTTATGGACCCCCAACACTATATCAAGCCTATACATGAAAGATGGTGCATAAAAACCTAGATCTAAGCTTATAGACTCATAAATCATTGAACTTGGAAACTCACAAGGGTCCAGAAGGTGTAAAAATGGATGAGGGTGATGTTGGGTTTTGAGCATTCTAACACTCCTATGGTATACATGCAACCCTATAAACCTTGGATCTATGTTT